AATTTAAATGTACTAGTTTTTACATTGTTCTATTCTACGTTTTCAGAATTCATTTTGTCGTACCGTCGGTCCGTAGCGCCAACCATTTTACAGGTTTGATGAAATATGCGACCTCGCAAGTAAGGTTGAAATTTGGAAAAAATCGTTTTACAGGAGGGGCTTATTGCTTCAGAAAAAATCATAATATTGAGAGGAGCATGACATTAATTCATATACAAGTTCTTCGGGACCACAAAACATTATCATAATAAAGGTAGTTATTGTTGTATTGGATATGGTAGTAGCAATAGTTCACTGTAATAGGAAATGCTTGGGAGTCCACGTGTGTGTCTATCTGATCTTGGTTCGGTGAGATTCTTGCACTTCTCATGTGCAACTCTGCTGCATACTGTATGGAACATAGTTTCTCTTATCTTTTTTGAATATCATCTGATTTTAATCTTTTTTTTTTTAATCGTCGTTGAACAGCAGACCCTATTTTTCGAGCTTACGACTACTAATGTTCAACTCCGTAGCCGTGTAATTTTGAACCGAATCAAGACGACCGGGAAACTTCTGGATCAAGTATTGAGAGAAATTTGCTTTCACGGAGGACTTTTTGATGGAACTAACCCGCATTTGCGTTACATGCAGAGGAAGACCACGAGAACCTCCAACGATTAGCCATACGGCAAGGGGACTCTAACCCATGATTCGTCAACCATTGAGGATATTTCACGTAAGCACTGTGGTTGGTGCTATCCGGATGCGTAATTCGTATCGACCACTCATCGCTGGGATTTGAACCTGGCTCACCTCATTTGAAGGCGAACGCTCTATCCCCTGACTCGATTTTGACCTTTTGAAAAAAATTTATATAGATAATTGATGTTATGTTCTTGTAACTATATTTTAATTGATATATTTGTAAGAAACAAGATTATCTTAATAGCAGAAATATATATGTAGTATTCATGATCAAAAAATAGTTTTACCCATATGCAAATTGTTTAGTGGCATATTATGTTATTTTAGGTTCATTGATAGAAAAAGGTGTAATAGATAACGCATCTTGGTCGTCTTGCATTGATGGAAAGAGCTGGTCTGTTCTCAATTCAAATAAACCAGCAGATTTGGCAAATATTGGCCATCCTGTTGACTTTTATGCTCAAATAAGTCTTTAAATATTCCACTTTATTTTACAATATTTAAAATAAAAAGTATTTTTGTTCTATAATTTGTTATAAAAGCTCTTAAATTTTGTTGCCATTTTTTTATGTTTATCATTATATATATTTTGTAATAGAGTGTACTTATACAATAAAACTTGTTAAGCTTTTTTATGTCATTGATTTGTTCTTTAAGTGGGTTGAAGAAAACTTTTCAAAATGAAGAACTAGTATATCCAGTATGTGTGCATAAATTTCAAGCTGAGGTAATGATGTATCACATAAAAAATTTGTAAATTTTTTTTTAAAACTATTTTATTTGGTGCTTTCTGAGGTGTGAAAAAAATTTATCTTATTTTGACGTCTTCCTCTATATATGGTATCGTGCGTAGCGTTTTTAAAAACTTCTGCTGCTTTTTTCATTGGGTGTTTTAAAACAGTGCTTAATTTTCCTTTTCCAAAAATTTCGAGATTTTCAAAAAAGGAATGTAGATTTCCATCATGATTATGCAGAGGCGTGCTCTTCACATTGTGCTATTCAATAATCTATTTCGGCGTACCGTTGGTCCATAGCGTATGAAAGCGCCAATCATTTTACATGTTTGATGAAATACTTGCGCTCACGCATGTGTATCTACTGAGCTGAATTCTTCGAGATTCTTGCACTCTCTGCATTTTGCCAGATATTCTCAATTTCAGACTTCATTTTCCACCATCTGATATTGGAACAGAAAATCTCTTGATCATTTTGTAATGGATAATTTAATCAAGAAAAGAGTTCTTTGTCAGATACTAGTTATTTTATCATGATCATGTAAAGTCTTTGAAAATTATTTTGCATTTTGTTAATGTATATAGTGCTTAAAAATATTTTTTCGTTGNAATATATTCATTTACATAAGTACTCATCACGTCACAATCAACTATATACAATATTATTGTATAAAAATTACAACTATTTACAAGTACATAAATATATATATATACATACATACATAACACTTTATAACAAGCGCTGTTGCTGCAAAACCTCAAATAACTCATTTTGTGCACAACATGTTCTCTAAAGCAAAAGGTAGGGTTCCGGGGTGCAGGAGTTCTGAGAATCGGGGGCTTCTATTAAACAGTGATGATTTATGAAGCATGTAGTTATACAAGGTAATTCAAAATGAATATAGCCATTATAGTTTTTAATTGTACATGCAAAACCGTGGGAAAAATCTCCCCATGTTGTCAATATTATACTTCCCAGAAAGCTTGCAACCTTGTGTCGGAATTTTATTTTTCTCACGAAAATGTTTGTACGAAAAATCTTTTTTCAATAAAGCAAATATATTGCAGTTATAAACCTTTTATCCTAAAAGGATTTAAAATTATTTTTTTAAAGCTGTTTTAAAAAACTATTGCCACCTAGATCCATAAAGACGTTTTAGCTGACGTCACACGAGCGGTAGGATCAAATTGCAATGTGCATTAAAATTTCATGACAAGGTGGATTTTAGCTGAGCATACAAGACGTTGCGAAAAGAAACCTTATTATGACCCAGATTTAAGATTATTTTCACCTTAAGACTAGCTTCATGAAAGGATTTTTCACGCTAGAAAACCCTAAGTCAACCTCAATTTAAGGGTTTTATATAGAAGGTTTTCCAAGGTTTTGTATTAGGGTAATGTGGGTAGAATAAAGCAGATTGTAAAAGATCTCGTTAGAAGGTTTACACGTAAACCATATTAAAAAAATTTTCAGGTTTACATTAAAAGGTTTTTCCTGAGTGAAAATAAACCTTATTTTGCTATATGGGACTGTATTGTTCGAAAAGTGTCAACTTTTTAAAAATTTAAGAAATTTGGAGTGGAATTCACCCATTACTTATCATATAAAAATCCAACAATGTGCATATGAACATAATGACGAAGTTAACGGATAGGATGGAAACGGAGTTGCTCGTAGCGGTGTGCAAAATGTAGCTGCCAATGAGAGAAGAAAGCGGGAATTCTGTGACTAGAGTTGGGCTCCGCTGTTCGATCAGAGAATTCAAATGCACTGCCTCCTGGAGACAGACTTGAACTTGAAGATAGGAGGGGACGCTTGGCGGAGACACGATGACAACAACAGAAGAATCTTCGTCCAGGTAAGCAGTGACCTCACACTCTGCTGTCTTGATGTGCTCTTGCAGTTTTGCAGCTAATTTTGAGACCACGGCATGCTCTACAGAATTTATCGCCTCCACCATTTGGTCCAGTAAGCGTTGACTGTACACAATTTTTAAAGCGACGCCTGAAAAAAAAGAAAAGATGTTAATGTATAAGCATGGTGCGTAGCGTTTTTAAAAAATGCTTATTTTGGATTTTTGTTATATAAAAGCCCTTAAAGTTATTTTTTCATTGAGTGTGTTTAAAAAGTGCTTAATTTTTCCTTTTCAAAGATGGGATTCTTCATTCTTTACCATGTCGATTTTCGCCACGTATTATGCAAAAGCGTGCTTTTCACATTGTTCTACTCAACGTTTTCACAATTCATTCCACCCCAATCCATTTTCGCTTACATCGGGTCCATAGCGTATGAAAGATCCAATCATTTTACAGGTTTGGAGAAATACTTGCGAGTCCGCATGTGCGTCTACTGAGCTGGGTTCGGTGAGTTTATTCCACACTCATGTGCAACCTTGCTGCATTTTGCAAGATATTCTCAATTTCAGGCTTCATTTTCCACCCTCTGAAATCGAACCGAAGAATCTTGATAATTTTTTAATGGAAAATATAATCAAGAAAACAGCTCTTGAAAAATATCTGCATAGGTATTCAGCGACAGACATTTGCAGGGTGCATAGCGTTTATTGAAAGTGCTTAAGGGTGCTTATTTATGATTTACGTTTTTCAAAAGCCATTAAAGGCGCTTTTATTTATTCGGGATTTATTAAAAGTGCTCAATTTTCTTTCTTTCAAAAAGAGATTTTTTTTCTTTGTTGTGTCGATTGTCGTTCTAAATTACAAAAAAAAAAGCATACTTTTCACAATTTTCTCTGCAATATTTATCAGAAATTAGTTATTTTATCATGATTACGTAAAGTTTTAGAATTTCACTGATTTCATGTTTAAAAATAAAGAATTTTAAATGATAGAAAAAAATCATTTTTATTACTGCTCAGATCCTAATGATTGTTTATCATTATATATATNTGGTTATAATTAGCTCCATTTTGTGAGTACAGTCGGACCCCGATCTAACGAATTCATGGGGACTGATAATATCATTCGCTATATCGAGGATAATTCGTAATTTCGGGGCAAAATAAGAAAAAATATGACTAACCTTATGCAATATCCGAACATCTCAAATAAGCATATATTAGAGATGTTCCATAAGGTTATTAGCTCCATTTTTAATTCTTCCATTTAAGGTTTTTAGCTCCATAAAGTCATTACCTTCATTTTAAGGTTATGGTTATAATTAGCTCCATTTTGTGAGTACAGTCGGACCCCGATCTAACGAATTCATGGGGACTGATAATATCATTCGCTATATCGAGGATAATTCGTAATTTCGGGGCAAAATAAGAAAAAATATGACTAACCTTATGCAATATCCGAACATCTCAAATAAGCATATATTAGAGATGTTCCATAAGGTTATTAGCTCCATTTTTAATTCTTCCATTTAAGGTTTTTAGCTCCATAAAGTCATTACCTTCATTTTAAGGTTATGGTTATAATTAGCTCCATTTTGTGAGTACAGTCGGACCCCGATCTAACGAATTCATGGGGACTGATAATATCATTCGCTATATCGAGGATAATTCGTAATTTCGGGGCAAAATAAGAAAAAATATGACTAACCTTATGCAATATCCGAACATCTCAAATAAGCATATATTAGAGATGTTCCATAAGGTTATTAGCTCCATTTTTAATTCTTCCATTTAAGGTTTTTAGCTCCATAAAGTCATTACCTTCATTTTAAGGTTATGGTTATAATTAGCTCCATTTTGTGAGTACAGTCGGACCCCGATCTAACGAGGGCAAACACTTAACGGTAAAATTGGTTATAAAAGTTTCTTACCACAAATCGGACAACAAGCATTTGGAGGCACAATGGAAATGCAGTGATTGGACGCCAAAGGTGGACACGTGATTTGAGAACATTTTGTTCCTTCTCCTGAAAACAGATTCAATTAATAATTCAAATTTCAAAGATTCTAGGCAGTTTATATGTTCAAAAATAACGGAGTGCTTTTGAAGAATAATATAAGAGAATAATACCGTGTGGAGGAATTGCGCAAGCTCCTCTGTAATCAATGGACATTTTGTCGGCAAGAGCAGCACATTCGCTGCTGTATTCCTGTCCATTATGTCCACATACTTTTCCCTTTTTTTGACATCTCACCTTTACAGAAAAAGAAACAATCATCAGATATTCGCACCATTATTTTTTACACAGACTAAATATGAATAAAATAAATACCCGTAAATATAAATAAAAAGTTCTGTTACAAAGAAGCATATGGAGTGTTTATCCATATCCATCGTTGAAAATAGCACAAAAATGGAATTTCGGTTCTACAAACAAAATTCTCTATCAGTGCTGGAACACAAAACGACAGAAGAAAACACGAGACAAATACGCCACAATAGGGAGTAAAATGAATTTAACGACATTTTACCTTATTGTAACTTGTTTGTCTTGTGTTTTATTCGGTGATTTTGTGCATAGACACGGTACAAAGTTCTTGTTTATCGAACCGAAACTATAGCACGTCCATTTTTGTGCTTTATTCCCACGTTGCACCAAGTATAAACTATCTTTATTTGGATAAACTTTAGTTGTCATAAATTAATATTTAACTGATGAGAAAACAGTGGCGAACAACGAAAACGAACAAAAACTAATAAATAATCTAAGTCTTATGAATCACTCCCAAAGAAAACGGGGTTTAAACTATCAAAACTAGTTTGATTGTAGGAACAAATGAGAGGAATAGAAAACACTTTGGTTTTGATACTAGTTTAATCTCAATCGTGAGAATTCCCTTATTTATCGATAACGCGTATATTTATTTAAAATCCTCTCTATACGATATACTTTTGACCGCTTTTGTATAGTTCGTTCACCAGGAGTTGGCACTTGTCTCCGCTTTCATCACGTGGTATCCGACGATACTATATCCTTATTTTTGAGAGAAGGATGTGAATAAAGCCCCTGAATTAGACAGGCCGACTCATCATCTATTTTTGCTCCAAAGAGCTAACATAAGCACAATACTAACGTAACGTTAACTTGTGAACTTTTTTGCTTGCTTGATAGGTCAGCTCTGATAGTATAGGAGCCTTAGATGTGAACAATCCTGAACAAGGTTGCTATTTGGCGATTCTCTGACAAAAATATTTACTTCGCAATCTTTATGTGCATTTTTTAACATTAAATATTTCATAAATTTGATGATATTTCTTACTTTTGAGTGAATAGTTCGTTCTTTTTAAGACATTTTGCTGGGAAAACGGCAGTTTTTAAATTTAAAATATATTTAATTAGATAGAGAAACAAAAGGTGTAATAGCAGATGATAAAGCGAAGTAAGTGGTTGTAGTTGTAGTTAATTTACGTCGCACTAGAGCTACACAATGGGCTATTGGCGACGGTCTGAAAAACATCCCTGAGGATGATCCGAAGACAGGCCATCACAAATTTGATCCTCTGCAGAGGGGATGGCACCCCTGCTTCGGTAGCCCAACGACCTGCACGCGAAGTCGAGCACTTTACGGTAGAACAGTTTAACGAGGACCAATACCGCACACCCTCGGTCCCTACACAGACTGCTCCAAGTGGTCACCCACCCGCACACTGACAGCAGCCAGTGGTGCTTGACTTCGGTGATCTGCTGGGAACCGTGTCTTAACGATCAGTCCACTGCGGGACAGTAAGTGATTGAAAAATAATTCTCTGTTTGCATTTGGCGTGCATTTAGAGTTGTCTCAATTTCAAGAGCGGAGACGTTATCTCCTCTTACTCCCTCGCTGAAATGAACTCTTCGTCCGAGTAGGTGGAGCCAAGCGCCAACTCCTGGTGAACGAACTATACAAAAACGGTCAAAAGAATAATATTACGATATTCTTTTGACCGTTTTTGTATCATTAATTGCCACGGAATTTGGTGGATTTTCTTGTAAACAAAATTCGCCCCTTTTGTGCGGCTTGGAAGTGCGTCGTTTCTTATTTCATTTTTCCAAAACTAATCATGTGATCAAACGCTGCTGGACTTTTCTTCTTTTCTTTGCATTTTTTTTTTTAAATCCAACAATCGGGCTTTTTTAAGGATAAAATATCCAGCGACACTTATTAGCGATTCATACATAATCCTAGAGAGAACAACAATGTGGTCTTTTTAAAGTTGCTTTTTTTTGCGTTCATTTTGGGACGCACTGTGTACAGAAATTTAGAAAGTAATATTGAAATATCGAAAATTAGAACGAAATACTATTTGACCCTGATATAATGAAACCGCAATATAATGAACATAACACCGGAAGTTCCTTTAGAGTAGACTCAAATTTCTTTCTTTTGCAGGTATTTAAACAAACATAACAGAATTTTTAGGCTATGTGATCCAAGTCAAAATTTTTGATGGTTTTCTATTGATGGACCAACATAATCTTGATGATAACCATCAATAATTCTTTCCTGAACCATTATATTTTTTAATGGTAACCAACATAAGTAACAATCACCCCAAAGTAGGAATTCGGACTGATGGTCCAACATAAAAATAGCAACTTATTTTGATGGTTTGTTCATGTTAAACCATCAGAAATTTCCATCATAATTTTTTAGAAATTAAATGTTAGAACGATCATGAACAACCATCTTCCCAGTAGGAATTCGGACTGATTTATGATGGTCCAACATTAAAAAAGAACCAAATTGTTTTGATGATATATTCCTAAGAACCAACAAGAATTCCAATAAAACCATCATGGAAAGGTTTAGTTGGAACCATCACTGATCATCATGGATTGTTCGTCCATGAGAATCAAAATTCTCTTGATGGTTCACCATCATAGTGTATTAAAGTATCATTTTCCACCATGGAATGATGTAAGTTTGTTGGCATATCAAAAACCATGAACACGTAATGGAAAATGTTGGATGACCATCATGAATCGCACTGAAACCAACATAAACCGTCAAATTGTCTTAGATGGGACCATCCAGAATTTTGACTTGTGATAGAAAGACACTTACCAGACACTTTCCAAAGTAAGCGATGTTCCTTTTCTTCTCCAGCAGCTCACACACGTTCACGTATTCATCATTTTGGGTGTCACACACTGCTGGCTTATCTTCACAATTGTTTTTACCCACTATGATTAAAAAAAAAAAGATGATTCGCAATTAGTTTTATTCTCACGCACAGTTCTTTATTTCATAGTTTCGTTTAGCACCATTTTGCAAGTACAGTCGAACCCCGATTTAACACTAATCATACCATAACCGGTCAAATGACCGTTTAAGAACTTTTGCATCGAAAATGCCCTTATCATCTTATCGTTTTTGCACATTTCACTTCATGACTTTTTCTAACAATTATATTATGTTAATGTTCTACTATTATATATATTTTTTTTGCTCGATTGAATCTATGCATTGCCCTTCCACTTGCGACGTTCTAAAATGTCAGGATGCGATACGTAAACTCCACCAATTTGGTAAAACTGTATCGCTACAATGGATTCCCGGGCACTATGATATTGCAGGAAATGAGAGGGCTGATGTTTTGGCAAAGAGAGGCACAAGAATTCTCCAGGCTCTTAGTAGCCCAGTCTCCTTTTCAACTTTAAAAAGGATTGTTAGATCAAAAATCAATGGAGATTTCCATCACCAATAATCAAAAAGGGTAAAAACCAAAGTGTGGAGAGATCTTCGACAGAACACCATTCCAGACAGGCCGCGCCGAGAAGCGGTGGCTCAGTTTTGACTATATACCGGACATGATTGCCTAGCCGCACACCTGTTTCGTTTAGGGCTGGCACCTGATCCCTATTATTCGCTGTGCAAGAGCCAAGCTGTTTTGGATGGCAGCCACATCCTGTGCTGCAAGGCCCTCAGCGGGTCGTCGTCTACCGAGCGATATTTGGAAGCAAGAGCGCTCCTGAGGAAATTACTTTTTACTTTATTATTTTGTTCCTGTGTCTTTGCCTTTTAACAAGTCAATTCACCTCTGCCATTTGAAATAAATAAATAAATTATTTGTTTTTTTGTATTTCGTTTGTTTCGAATAATATTTGTCATCTACCTATTTCTACCACAACCGGTCATTTGACAGGAAGAACAATTTATTGCTTTATAAGGTTATTGGATTAGAAATGACGTTGTCATGCGTATTTAACGTATTGCATTCGATGAGTTGCACATTTCTGCAAAGACTGTTACGTAGCGAGTTCAATCAGAAAAACTCTGAATTCAAATTTCAAGAAAGTACCTAAAATTTTAGATTGGCATTTTTGTGTCGGAAAAAGTGACAAAAACTAAATGTTTTGGTAAGTAGCTTATATTTTATCTTGATAGCTTTACTTCATTTCTAACTAACTGTTAGTTTCGACATTTTTCTGAGTAAAAACTATCAAGGCAGCACAAGCTCTTAGAAGAAATAATATTAATTATAAGAATTATAATTCTTACACATTCTTATACTTATAAGAATCATAGAAATAATAATGATTAGAAGAAATTTGTTTTACGGAAAATGTACAATGGAAACACCCTGTATGAGGAAAAAATGCGTTGAATTAAAAATTCTAATTCTTTGTGTTTGTAATAGATGATAATTGGCAATATACAACTTTGTTTAACTAAGTTTTTTTTAGTTTATACCCTTCCTAACATCCATATTTCATACATTTAATCAAGAAACACAAAGTTCAGTCATTAGACCGACTATGGTAGAAATAGGTATATATTAAGGGTTGGTATGTTTATTGTTAACGAATTCATGGGGACCGAAAATATTCGCTAAATCGAGGATAATTCGTAATATCTGGGGAAGAATGAAAAAAAAAAGATGACTAACCTTATGAAATATCCTACCAACTATAATAAGCAAATACACAAAATAAATAGAAAACGTTATATTTAGGAATTTAAAATACAACGAATGATGACGCGCTGATTAATTTGAAATTTTAAAGCTTAAAAGTTTGTTTATTTCCTTGGATTTCTTACTTTAAAAAAGTTCTTTTTCGACGTCATGAAGAGAAGAAAATTGCTGCATTAGGTTAAGTTTTCACTGTTTCTAAAGCATCAGAAAAAGTAACAGTTATTCACTGGAGATTGATTCATTATAATCGATTTCAGAATCGCTATTCATTGTTTCCTATAAATCTACTTCATTAACTTCATAAAATTCGTTAAATCGCGAAGGTCGGTAAATAAGGGTTCATTAAACCGGGGTTCAACTTTATTAAATTGCAATCTTTGTGATCAATTTAAAAAAAAAATTATTCGATAAATTCAAAAGAAGTATTATATAGAAGTGTTAAAAGAAAGTCTGTAAAGAATAATATTAGTGGTTCTAAAAACAGGGTAGAGTGAATCATTCTTTAAATGCGATTATGTTAATAATGCGATTAATATTTCATGTAACAATAATGCAAAAACGTTTCCCCTAAAATCTATTGAAGCGCGTTTAAACAATGAATAAAACTGAATGTCGCATTGAAACAGTGATTTTCACACCTAATTTAGGAAAAATTGTAAACTAACTTATAATTAATATTGCAAAACGGGAACGTTTATTGAAAGTGGTCCTTTTGAACTGGAATAAATTATTATCTATTCAAAGTTTCGGATATTTAAGTGCTACCAACCATTTGTTTACAGAGAAGATTGTAAAACTGTTCGGCTGCAATTTAAGCATAAACATCTTAGTTAGGTATATTATTTATTAAAACCCGTTTCCATTGATACGATTTTAATTTAACCCATTCATTCAGGACCGGACCTTCCACTACGCAAACCTGGACAAACGCTTGAAAGAACCAGAAAAAAAATTTACAATGCACGAAATCATTTTATTTTATGACCGTCGTTGAACAGTCAACCCAATTTTTGGGTTTACGACTACTAGTGTTCAACCACGTAGCTTTGTCATTTTGAACAAAATCCAGAAGACAAGGGAACTCCTGGATCAAGTATTGGGTAAAATTTGCTTCCGCGGAGGACTTTTTGTTGGAGCTCACCCGCATTTGCGTTATATGGAGAGAAAGACCAAGAGAACTTTCCATGGTTAGCCTGACTGCAAAAGGACTCTAACCCATGAACAGTCTACCACTGAGGATATTTCACGTCAGCACTGTGGTCGGTGCAAGCCGGATGCGGGATTCGCATCAACCAGCCATTACTGCACAAAAACTATAAGAATTAAAAACGTGAGATTAGAAGGGTGTGTAGAGAGCCTTGGAGGCTCATGGGGTAGAGCGTTAGCCTTACAGTGAGGTAAACCGATGGCTGGTCGAAACGAATCTGCATCCGGCTTGCACCGACCACAGTGCTGGCGTGAAATATCCTCAGTGGTAGACGGATCATGGGTTAGAGTCCCTCTGCCGTCAAGCTAAAGGTGGGGGGTTCTCTCGGTCTTCCTCTCCATCTAACGCAAATGTGGGTTTGTTACATCAAAAGGTTCGTAACGAAAGTAAATTTCTCCTAATACTTGATCCAGGAGTTTCCTTCTTTTCTGCCTTAGATTCACAAAATTACAAGGCTACGGAGTCGTAACATTAGTAGTCGTAAATTTCTACGTAACGCTATTTTTTGGATTTCATATTTAATATTCTCCCTATTTGTTAAAACTCTAATTTGGAACTTTTTGAATATGTTTGCTTATGTTATTAAACTTTTGCGCGCACTTCGAGTTACCGGTATGTCCCTGGATGCCCCTATGCAGAGGCGGGGGTTAAACTAGTTATTAGTAGTCGTAAACCCAAGATCGTGTTAGCTGTTCAACGACGGTTATGAAATTATGAAACCCTTTTATGATTGAAACTTTAATAAACATTTTTTCTTCTTTTTCACACATTTAATGGGTATCCCTGGTATAAATAAATCACGAAACTATCATTGTTATGGCATGACAGCTATTGTGCTGCTTTTCGTTGGCCATTCAATTAACAAGGAAATAGATTTCATTTTACTGAATACATTTAAATTTCAGGGGGGTCCCGATAAATCATTTTCAGTCACTAAGTATTTGCCATGAGAAGACACTTCCTAAATAGTCTGAAACCATTTTACTCAGTTTAATGCGATCGAAACCGTCATATAACAGAAACTTTCATACTCATTAAATACTTACCGCAAATGTATTGGGGACATTTTTTCTTTAGAGTCAAGCACACTTGTCTTTTTGGTACACACCTACAAACAAAGAATGGCCATGTGATTTTTTACAATCTACAGTTGATTCTTTTTGAACACACTAAATTTTTTACATCTCCTTTTTACACCTAATAGTTCGTTCACCAGGAGTTGGCACTTAGCTCCACCTCGTCGGACGCAGAGTTCATTTCAGTAAGAGCAGAAACATCTCCTCACTTTAAAACGAAACAACCCTTAATGCGCGCCAAATGCAAACAGTGAATTCTTTTTCAGACACTTACTTTGCTTTATCATCTGCTATTATACCTTTTGTTTAGCTAATTAAATATATTTTAAATTAAAAAACTGCTGTTTTCCCAGCGAAATGGCTCAGAAACGACAAACTATTCACTCAAACGAGAGGAATATCAAATTATGAAATATTTATTGTTAAAAAAAATGCACATAACGATTGCGAAATAAATATTTTTTTCACTCAATCGCCAAATAGCAACCTTGTTCAGGATTGTTGGAGAAATAGAGAAATAATGGGAATAGTATTGTCGGATACCACGTGGTGAAGGCGGAGCCAACTCCTGGTGAACGAATGGTCTTCAATTTTTATTTCACAGTAAGATTTTAAAATATTAGCAAAGATTAACAAAGATTCAACGTGGTTTGAAAAAAAAGTTTGTTCTTTATTGGAAAGCTCTTTACCATCGAATCCATAAACTTTTCTCTCGTTTCTCACCCTAAATTTCGTAACTTGAGAAAATTCTGAAAAGGAACACAACGAAAACAATGATTTGATTCTGTCGATTATCTGAATCGCGTTTATAATAAAATGATGACAGTTTTATGCAAAGGTTCTTTTCAATCTAAAAAATAAAAAAAAATAAACGTCTTTTATCGAAAATTGTAATTCATTTTCAGTTTATACACAGCTCTTGACCCATGAATTCAACTGTCTAACACTTAACTTTGATGAAAATTTAACTCTTCAAAATAACTTTTTTAAAATAGCAAATAGGTTTTAAAAGGTTGTCGCGAAATCACAAATACAAGTGAGTTTTGGCTATACTGAATTGAATAACTACATTGGCTCGATTATCTCTAGAACTACTGGTTTATGCGTGAACCTTCTAAAATTAAAACGAGATCTGTGACTATTTTCTCTATTTTACGCACATTACTCTAATCCAAAACTCTGGAGAAAAACAACCTTTTATATAAAAACCTTAAATCGAGGTTGAGTGAGGGTTTTGAATCGTGAAAAAAATCCTTGAATAAAGCTAGTCTCAAGCTTAAAATAATCTTAAATCTAGGTCATTATAAGGTTTCTTTTCGCAAAGTCTTGTGTGCTCAGCTAAAAAACTACCTTGTCATGAAATTTTAATGGACAATGCCATTTGATTTTATCGCTAGTGTGACGTCAGCTAAAACGTCATTATGGACCTAAGTGACCATTTTACTTATATGACAATACTTTTTAAAAAAAGCTTTAAAAAATATTTTTTAATCCTTTTAGGATGAAAAGTTTGAAACTGCAATATTTTTGCTTTATTGAAAAAAGGTTTTCAGTACAAACATTTTCGTGACAATAGAAAGAAAATTCCGACACAAGGTTGCTGTAAGGTTACATGCTTTTATGGGACAACTAATCCATGATTTTAAATATTTTATAAAACTAGTGAAGTAAAATATCAACTAAAAATGTAGCAAAATTAAAAATAAATTTTCCAATAAATTACAAAAGGCATTAACAAAAAATGCACTTGCATTTCAGAGCAAAATTCTCTACATAACTGAATTCAAGAATCTCTGATACACAGAAGTTACTTTTTCGAAAACAGCTTATTTTATTACGATTTTCAACTTATGCCAAAAATAATTTAAAGAAAAAAATCTGATTCTTCACATTAAGTATATCCAAATTAATTTGTCATTCTTTTGTTTTGTATATTCACAACTGCTAATGAAGAGGCCCGGGATTGCCTGGTTGGTAGGGGACTTGGCTCATGTCCAAGTGGTCGTGGGTTCGATCCCCGCAAGCCGAAAACTCCCCGTGTAGTAAATGGTGACTGGTGCGCGTTAAATCTGTCGAGTCGCAAAGTCCTCCATGTTCCTATAACAAATCAATACCTCTGGGGGTACTGATTCAGCAGTTTCCTTGTTTTCTGGATTGGTTTAAGATTACAAGGCTACGGAGTTGAACATTAGTAGTCGTAAACCCAAAATTGGGTCGTCGGTCCAACGATAGATCTATCTATCTATCTATCTATCTATCTATATATATATCTATCTATCTATCTATCTANAAAGGTGGGTAGAGAGCATTCACCTTCCAATAATGTTAACCGGGTTCGAATCCTGGCCATGCCTGGTCGATATGAATTACACCAACTACAGTGCTGACGTAAAATATCCTCACTGGTAGACGGATCACGGGTTAGAGTCCCCTTGCCATCAGGATAACTATGGGATGTTTTCGTGGTTTTCTTCTCAATGTAACGCAAATGCGCACTGGCCGAACAGTCTCCGTGTAGTAAATGGTGACAGATGCACATTATATCTGTTGAGTCACAAAGTCCTCCATGTTCCTATAACTGGGGGTACCGATCCAGGAGTTTCCTTGTCTTCTGGATTGATTCAAAATTACGAGGCTACGAGGTTGAACATTCGTAGACGTAAACCCAAAATTGGGTCTTCTGTTGTTGTTGACGTATGCCTGCTTAGGCAGAGGGGGTGCGATTGTTCTTGTTTTCCAGTGGCGCCATCTATGGGCAAGACGACTTCTGCCAAACCATACGTCGCACCCGTTTATAGGGCGGACCCATTTATACATCCATTCCTTCAGCCACAGATCGCAATTTTGACCGGAATCAGAGAACGATCGATCTCCAATCCAGTACCCCCAGAGGTATTGATTTGTTATGGGAACATGGAGGACTTTTGCCACTCGACAGATTTAACGCGCATCAGTCACTTTACTACAGTCTTCGGTCGGCGGGGTTCGAACCCACGAACTCTCGAACATAGGCCCAGCGCCCTACCGACCAGGCTATCCCGGCCCCGGGTCTTCCGTTGAAAGACGGAAATAAAATGAAATATAAAAAATAATGCTAATGATCTTCCACAAGATCACACACATGTATGTTTTGAGACATAAATTTTCTGTTAGTTAAATATTAGAACACAGTTAGTTAAAAAAGTTATGTTAGTTAAAAAACAAATATAACTATTATTTTATTAATGTAGAATAAAGGAAGTAACTTGTTAAGAAAGAAGAAAGAGTCATACTCACTTTTTTTTGCTCCCACACGTGTTATTTACACACGGATCAGATCCACATGGACCTGCCTTGAAATGATTCTCTTTTAATCCAGCACATCTAGAATTGAGAAATTATTTGTCATTTAACCAGTTGAGTTCAAACACCTTTTTTTTGTCATTTTTTCAATTCCTTCTAATTAGTTCACACTCTCCCTACATCTTGTTCAAATTTTCAATCCTTCATTAAATACTTTTTATTTATACACTCCATTAAATTGAGATGAGCGAAAAATGAAATGGAATTTTCTGATGGGTTAAGCGTTAGTCATTGTTTTAAATTTTACTATAAGCTATTCAGTTTTTCACATATTTTAAAAATAACATCAGTGATCATTTTTAACTTATAGCTCTATTTGAACAAAAAAATAGTTTATTGCGCACATTAAAATATTTAATTATTTTATATTCGTTGTGTCAGATAAATTCAATAAGGAACATGACGTGTGGTCCACGTCACCAAATTTATACTTTTATAGTTGTCTAATAGTTGTCCTTTTTTTTTCTTTCAATTCCTGCTACTAGTTCACACTCTCCCTATTATCTCGTTCAAATTTTCAATCCTTCACAAAATACTTTTTATTCATTCACTCAAATACATTGTTTTTAAAACTTCTAGTGGATGACATTTGATGTTAATACAGTTTTATTTCAAATATTAATTCATTCATTAAATTTAATTCATTCATTTTAGTTTTATAGGTGAGAAATTTTTTTTAATTATTTAATTAAAAGTAACTAAAGTAAAATTTTTTCTTTGTTGACCTAAGAAGGAATCTACTTTAATTTTTTTTTATTTTTAATATTACTTGTTTTATACATAAATTACAAAACAGTTACTTTAATTATTACCTTATTTTCTTATAGTTTTATAATTTTTTTAAAGAAAAAACATAAAATCTGCATTCGAAAATTTGAAAGGACATTATTTTTCATTTTAAGATCATTTCTGATGATTTTTAAGAGATCTTTTTTTAAACTTTTCAGATCATCAATGAAATGTTTAAGAAAGTGCTTAATAACAAAATTAAAAAATTTCTTAGTAAACTTTTTTTATAATTTTATAACAAAAATTATATTTTTTTCAGCAACTGCACATGTTTGTAAAATTGTATGTGAAAAAATCCATTAGTAGATTAAATCACAAAGCTTATACTTGTTGTCTACAAAATCTTGGAGGGATCATAAGAATTGAACGGAAATGGCTTCCCTATTGTGTTTGTGCCTTTTATTTATCTAAAATTATCTTTTCTAGTAATTATTGTCAAAAATTGCATTTAAATGGGTTCAGTTTAAAATATTTAATTGTAATTTAATGATTTTGGGGCAAATGTGACAAGATCGCTAAATTATTAAATTACTATAAAGCAGAGAATGCTATTTTCGACAATAAATTATGGAAAAAATAACATGAAATTGAGATAATTTAAAAAAATAAATAAATCAAAGGCGGAAATATTAATTGCACGGCAGAAATATCAAATTCAAAAATGAATAAATAAATAAAAAAAAATAAATTGTGATCGCCTTTTGGCGATCCCAGGTTACACATTGGCAAAATGGTTGTCTATTTTTTATACCCTTTTTATTTCTGATATTCACCTGAATTAGTGTCGAAAACGATCCAGTGTGAACTGTAGGTTAGAATTTCTGCTTCTTAATTAAAACAATTAAAACAAAAATATCGTTCAAATGATAAAATTCTCTTTTATTCACAACTCAAGAAACATTTATGTGATCTCTCCGGTCCCCTATCTCAAAAATAAACTCACCCACTTAATGCATAACAAAATTAAAAGTGAAAAAAAAAATTATCAAACAGGAGCGGTCTTAATGGCATCACGTGCAATGACGACGCATGCGCGCTGTTTACTATTACTCTCGAACACAGTTGAAAAGTGTCATGACGTCCAAATAAGGTGCACACGCCATCAAATCCAAAACAACACCCACTTTGCCAATGGGTCACAAAATTTTACGCGTACTTGAAATCATTAAGGAATAAATAGTGAATATTTACCCAGCTATACAAGGATTTGTATACGTTTTGCCATTTTGTCCGCAAACAGGGGAATAATAATTTAGACAGGAACAAAATGCATCTGAAATATAAATATATTTTAAGAAAAGAAAGAACGAAACATATTATTATGCACAATATGCAAAATAAAAAATCTTTTTGATCTACTTATTCAAGTACTAACTTGCTATCTTCGCAGACTAACCTCTCAGACAATATTTAAAGTTAAAAGAATAAGACACGGAAAGCGTATCTTCTTGGAGTAAACATCACTTTTCTCGAAGATGACTCTTTTTCTATTTTTTGTCAAACATAAATATGCTTATTCCTCCTAATTGTATTTCATTTTCAAGTCTTTTAAATTTATTAAATTCAAATACTAGAACATTTTAATGCTTAGTCATAATAATAATAATTAATAACAATTAATTATTAAATAATAGTGTGGTGATCTGCCTACTACAACTCAACGCTGCCAGTCTGGTATTCCATAGCAAGGAGGAACACACATAAAAAAAAGAAACTAATGTTTTATTTTTGCTTTTTGATAATTCACCTGCTTTTAATATGTACTTTATTATTATTATTCAAGGCTGTTTAATATATTATATTTTATAACAAGAAGTGCGTCTGCTTATTTCTCACAAAAAGTATTCCTCCACAATAGTTATCATCTTTTATATTTCCTTTAATTTTTTATTAATTTAAAATATCATAAACTTTATTAAAAAAAAGTCAGTTCTTATAGGTTATTGGCACTATACAGTAAAGTTTGCCATCAAGTAGAGCAACTTCTGTACGAATTATCGAATAAGATATTATTGTGAATTTTATTTGTGTAAAAAAAAAATATTGACACCAGTGCATAAATGAGATTAATAGGGAGCAATATATTATTGAAATGCGTACTCACTAGTCGCGGGTTTATGGGTGAAAAAACATGATCCTTATAACTGTGTATTCCAAACGTACATAAATTATATGGTAAAATTCTAGAATAGCCCACCTCTTGGCGACTTTTTGAAATCTCGACAAGTTGGCGATTATTACTTTAAACGTTGATTTTTGAATATAAAGAAACTACAAATTTAAATTATTATCAATTTATTTGTTATAATTTAAACTGTTTAAATTTATTTAAATATATTTATTTACTTAAATTTATATATTTGAGTACACACGTTATACTCAAATATATGATTGGGTCACATTATTAAGAATAATATAAATTGGCAAAATTTTTTAATCTAGGTTTAAAAGAAATTAAATAAAACTGTTTGGTAATACTATTTTAATAAATGTAAAGACTTAACTTATAAAAGTAAATACCCATTTGTACTTTTAGCTTGAACATTGAATCGAAATTATTTTTTGCTTTAAAATGTATTGTCACACAGCGTAGGGACCCACTTGAGTACTCTAGCTAGTTGGAAAGACGATAATGAAGAAATATTGCTTACCTGATACTAAATTACTCAATCCATCACATGTTCTGATACATCTCAATTCACCACTGAAGCAGAAACAAACTGTACAATTACTCACATACTGACTTTGGTGCCCTATTTGACAACAATAACATTCCATTATTTCACTTCAAAGGATATATATATATATATATATATATACAGGGCTCGAAAAAACTCAAAACTTTTACCCGTCCCCGAGGACGGTTTGTCCAACAATGAACCCGTCCTCCTTTGAAACTAACCCGTCGCTTCTAAATAAATCAAAATATTATTTTCTCTTATTTATTACAAACATTTATATAAATCGCACAATGAATTAGTACTTACTAGGATTACAAATACTAGGATTGCATTATACAGTAATAAAAGGAATACTAGGTTACTAATAGGAACCTAGTATTTCTTTTATAAAATAATTTATTTCTTTTATGAAATAATTTAAATGACAAANAATACCCATTTGTGCTTTTAGCTTGAACATTGAATCGAAATTATTTTTTGCTTTAAAATGTATTGTCACACAGCGTAGGCAATTTAAGCGTAAGCAAGAAAATTAAGAAAATCAAAAAGTTTTATTTTCTGCGCATATGCTGCAAGTATATAGAACTTATAAAATAAGTTCAAAATGTAGATATAACATGGAATTTCATTTATTCATTTTATTTTCTCTTTTTTACGCCATATTTATTACTTAATTATAATTTTTTAGTGCTGTTCACGCCACTGTATTGATATATTTTGCTTCAGCTACATTGATAGAATCCTCTTGCCGTCAGACTAACCATGGGAGGTTTTCCGTTTCATGTAACGCAATTGAGGGTAAGTTCCATCAAAAAGTCTTCCTCAAATGCAAATTTCTCCCAATACTTGAACCAGGAGTTCTCTTGTCTTCTGAATAGAGTTCAAAATTACATGGCTACGGAGTGGAAGATTAGTAGTCGTAAACCCAAAACTAACTCAGCTGTTCCACGACGGTTATAAAATTTTGTGGTTATAACTTCCATCAAAAAGTTCTCCAGAGAAGGCAAATTTCTCCTTATGCTTGATCCAGGAGTTCCCTTGTGTTCGGGATTGGGTTCAAAATTACAAGGCTACGTAGTTGAACATTAGTAGTTGCAAACCCACAAATTGGGTCTGCTGTTTAATGACGGATGTAAAATTTGTACCTTATAAAAAAATAAACAATCAGCTATAAATTTGTTGAATCCCCTTGTTGCCACCAAACTAACCGTGGAAAGTTTTCCTCGCCGTGCAACGCAAATGTGTGTAAATTTCATCAAAAAGTTCCTCCATGGCGGCTAACTTGTTCCAATGCTCGATCTTTTCAGGGTTGGTTTCAAAATTGCAAGGCTACGGAGTTGAACATTGATAGTCATAAAATCAGAATTGCATCGGCTGTTCTATGCCGGTTATAAAATAAAATAGCTCATTGTGACGTGAATAAAGTGCGATTAACTGTGAACAGGAACCATAGATTTCCCTGGGTAGTCATAAATTCTGCAAATTAGCAGCATGGTACTTCATTTAAAACGTGAGAGCTGTCATGAAACTGTTTGCTTTTATTTCATAATCCATTCAGGAGACAACTCCGGTGGTTATGAAAAGCTTCCAGATTCCACATGGAATTAATAAAAATTTATTTTGAATAGCAGCTGTCTCGTTGATTGTCTGTCCATCATCGAAGCCATTTTCAAAATGGTTCCCTTGTCAACTTGTCCTCCTAATCGATAAATTCCTCGCCAACTTGTTGAGATTTGTGGTATAATGATAAGGTGACCATTCAATGACAATAACGCATAGATATAGTTCGTTCTCCAGGAGTTGGCACTTGGTTCCGCCTTCATCACGTGGTATTCGACGATACTATTTAGCTATTTTTGGGAGAATGATGTGAACAATCCTGAACAAGGTTGCTTATTTAGCTATCGTCTGACAAAAATATTTATTTCGCAATCTTTATGTGCATTTTTTTAAACATTAAACATTTCATAAATTTGATGATATTTCTCTCTTTTGAGTGAATAGTTTGCCCTTGAGACATTTCGCTGCAATATATTTAATTAGATAGAGTAACGAAAGGTTTAATAACAGATGATAAAGCGAAGTGACTGAAAAAGAATTCACTGTTTGCGTTTCGAACGCATGAAGGGCTGTCTCAATTTCAAGCGCGGAGACGTTTCTCCTCTTACTCGAACTGTACGAACTCGAACTGTACTCCTCTTACTGAAACGAACTCTTAGTCCAAGGAGGTGGAGTCAAGTGCCAACTCCTGGTGAACGAACTATACGTTGTCCATGATTGCAAAAAGAATGCTTTTTTGTGATGTTTAAAAAAAAGTGTTTCCTCGTTCCTGTAAAAATAAATTTTTGTTTTGAGTTTTTCCAAAATTGCTCCTGGATAAGAATACTATAACTCGCATTTATTTCTGATTAGATTATTTTAACCCTAAAACGAATAGGAAAGAAAAGAAAGCTTACGTATTTGTTTTCCGAGAAAGGAGCAATTCCCCTTGTTTAGGCAGGATACAGGGAGGCAGTTGTCTATAGACCCCTGCTTGTTACAGTAGCAAATGGAATTGCAATGCTTCCCTTTCGAAATCCTCGGTATTACTGTATAAGTACCGCCCGGTACTATCAACTGAGAGACTGCACCCATCCTGCAACCTGAAAGAAATTATTTGTTTCTTATTGCTGTTACTAACACAAGTCAAAATTCTCATCAAATGGTTGATGTTGGTTTCAGTGCGTTTAATGATGGTCCGACATCATTTGATGGTCACCATCATCCAACATTTTCCATTATGATTTCATGGTGTTTGATATGCCAACAAACTTCCATCATTCCATGAATCTTCTCTAATACCATGATGGATAACCATTAAGAGAAGTTTGATTCTCATGGACCAACAATCCATGATGGTCCCAACTATATATTTCCATGATTTTTTAACGGAAATTCTTATTTGTTCTCAGGAATATACCATCAAAAGAATTGCTAATAATATTGGACCATCATAAATCAGTCCGAATTCTTACATTAAGGTGAAGGCTACTTATGTTGGTTACCATCTAAAAATATAATGGTTCATGATGGAGTAATTGATGGTTACCATCAAGGTTATGTTGGTCCTTCTATGGAAAACCATCAAAAATAATTTTGACTTGGGTAGTCAATAAACTGCTGAGTCACTTTTTTGGGCCCCTTATCGACTCTTAACAAACCTTATTAAGCTTTTTTATATAAAACATGTTTCTCTATAAAATATAATAATTTTGTAGTTAAATTTGGATAAAAAAAAAGTGAACTCGTTTTATTGTTGAGAGTTCTGAATCGCTCGAAAAGTTATATTATACCTAGCCGAATTTACCCTCTAATCGTTTAATTAATCCCAAGTCAAAATTCTTGATGGTCCCATCAAAACATTCATGATGGTCCAACGTCATTTGATGGTCACCATCATCCAACATTTTCCATTAATGGTGTTTGATATTTCAATAAACTTCCATCTTTCCATGATGGAAAATGCTACCTTAATGCTATGATCGTTAACCATCAAGAGAATTTTCCATCTCATGGGCCAACAAACCATGATGATTCGTAATGGTCCATGATGGTTCCAACTATGCATTTCCATGATGGTTTAACGGGAATTCTTGATGGTTCTCAGAAATATACCATCAAAACATTTTTTTTCCATGTTGCACTATCATAAATCAGTCCGAATTCCTACATTGGGATGATGGTTGCTCATGATCGTTGCAACATTTGGTTTCTAAGCAACTGTGATGGAAATTTCTAATGGTTCAACATGAACGAACCATCAAGACAAGTTACTATTTTTATGTTTTAGCATCATAAATCAGTCCGAATTCCTACATTGGGGTGATGGTTGCTTATGTTGGACATCATCAAAGAATATAATGGTTCACAATGGAATTATTGACGGTAAACCATCAAGATTATGTTGGTCCATCAATGGAAAACCATCAAAAATTTCGAAATGGGAGGAAAAGAAACACGTCGTGGGATAAAAGAGGTCGCATTTCGAGCTGTGTCTCCTGCTTTAAGTGTTTAATGGATGGGATACCTGGTAGGCAGATGAATGGGGAACATGATTCTCCTGATTGGCAGCTTCTGTTGACGAGGCACACTTCATTTTTTCCACAAGAATTGTTAGCTTTGCAAGGGTGGGTCACATCTGCGGCTGTATGGCTGTATTGACTTCTCTCTGAAATAATCATTTAATCATTCATCATTTAATCTGAAATAATCATTTAATCAATAATCGTTAAAACATCATTTCTTTTTAAAGAAAGTGAAAAATATTGCAACTTCTTTACAGTTTCAGACGGTAAGTTTCATTACTTCTCCACTAAGTCCCTATTTTAAAGATTTATACTCCGAAAAAATATCCAATTAATGTATGTTTTTCGCGTGTTAATTGGCGTAATACGTGTAAATAACACAATTATGTGTAAGTTTGTATATTTGTGGGACCTCTCCGATGTCCAACCTCACTATAGTTCGTCCACCAGAAGTTGGCTCCACCTCCTCGGACCGAGAGTTTATTTCGAGAGTAAGAGGAGAAACATCTCCGCTCTTGAAAATGAAACAACCCTTAATGCGCGTCAAAGGCAAACAGTGAATTCGTTTTCTGTCACTTCGCTTTATCATAGATTATCGTTACTCTAGCTAGTTAAATATATTTTAAATTTAAAAACTGCTGTTTTCTCATCAGAATGTCTCAAAAAAAGGACAAACTATTCACTCATAAGAGAGAAATATCATCAAATTTATGAAATATTTAATGTTAAAAAAATGCACATAAAGATTGCGAAATAAATATTTATGTCATACGATCGCCAAATATCATCTTTGTTCACATCCTTCTCCCAAAAATAGCGAAATAGTATCGACGGATGAAGGCGGAGCCAATAGCCAATTCCAGGTGAACGAACTATGTAAAATTTTGGGAACGCATCGCGAAGATAAAACACCCAATATTCCATGGACACAAAGATTGTTTGGATGTTTTTTTGAGACGCTTATACACGTAAGAATCCGATCATTAGTATATTTTTTAATCTTAAATATTGATTGAAATTACTTTTGAATTTTACTTAGTAATTGATTGATTTATTAGCCTTTTTAAACACTGGATATTTTATGTAAAAGTCTCTGAGAAAAAGTATGCTATGAAAGGATCATTCAAAATTCACGCAATATTTAAATGTTGAGCTATTTTTGAGATGAAATGTTTAGATAAAAAAATACAGCAGACGTTTTAGATTTATGGAACAGATTTTATTTGTTGAGCAATATTTTCAGCAATGTTGAGTCATTCTTTGATCGTGTAGTATAAGAAGTTTGCATCAGAATTGGCCAAACAAGTCATTCCATTTTGTTTTGAAGCTTAAGGTTTAAGAATTAAAAACGTGAGATTACAAAGGTGTGTAGAGAGCCATGGTGGCGCAGGAGATAGAGCGTTCACCTTCCAATGAGGTGAACAGAGTTCGAAACCCGGCAACGGCACATCAAAACGAATTCCGCACACTGCTTGCACCGACCATAGTGCTGACGTAAAGTGTCAAATGATTAAAATACAAGTAAAATGAATTGCAAAGTAAGGTATATATTAAACAAAATTTTGGAGTGGGTGAAGTGAAGTTGGAGAGTTATAGTGAACGGAGGGTGCTCCAAATGAAATTTTCCCCAAAAATGATCAAAATAATCTTTCTTCTTTTTATTGTTTATTCATTTTTTTTATCCTATCTCATATCAGGTGCTGTTGGCTCGTCAGTAACATTCTATAACTAGTCAACAACTTAGTGGGTCGGTCTTTTAGGGGGGTGATATGGGAGCGATTTAAACTGTGATCAGATACTGTGGCGATCTGAGAAGTTAAATATATAATTTGTCTAAAGTAAAACTCCAGCAATTCTTCTGGACCCGTGGCGGTAACTTTGACAAAACGAGGTATAACCATTTTAAGTATGGGTGTGGGGTCACTGTTTAGGATAGGCGAGAGAAAGGGAATCTTTTTCCTCACTGTATTGTGTTAGCCCTAGAATAAAGAGAAACTACCCTCCCTGAAATGCGCTATTCTTGTTTCCATAGCAGCAGCATGCCTGAGACTTTGTGGAGGGGGGAGTTCTTACCGTAGACAAACTATAGCTGTCTTTGTCATCAAGTAAATAAAGGCAAGGAGACATACCTAAGAAAGGTGTGAGTGAGATGCAGGGAGAATTGATTTCTGGTGGTGACAAAACATCACAGAGAGTATCGGGTGTCTGACCTTCCATCAATCTGCTACGATCAACACAATGACTCAGGAGATTCATGCAATCATTCCTAAAAATACAACTTATTTTATTCTTTAACACTTTAAAATTATAATTTTTTTCAGACTATGTCACTCAAAGGCTATGACAATATTCATGTTTTAATTAAGTTTTTTTTTTAAATAAAATATTAATGTGTGCGCAAATTCAGTCCTAATAGAGGGGTTCTAACAAAGTGAATTAATCCTAATTCTGTCCTAAGAGAGGTGTTGTGGTTCAGAGGATAGAACTCTCGTCTCATAATTTCGAACGCGTCTCGCACCGACCACAGTGCTGGTGTAAAGTACCCTCAGTGGTAGACGGATCATAGGTCAGAGTCCCTTTGCCGTGAGGCTAACAATGGGAGGTTCTCGTGGACGTTTCGTTTCGTCTATAGAGGATCTACTTAACGTAGAGAGCAAAATAATAACTTTTGATTGAAGGCTTGGACTTTCACTTAGCGATCTCATAGAGGCGCGATGGCTCAGGGGATAGAGCGTTCGCCTTCCAATGAGGTGAACCGGGTTCGAATCCCATCGATGTCTGGTCGATACGAATTCCGCATCCGGCTTGCACCGACCACAGTGCTGATGGGAAAATATCCTCAGTGGTAGACGAATCATGGGTTAGAGAGGGGGATTTTCGTGATTTTTCTCCTCGATGTAACGCAAATGCTGGTTAGTTTCATCAAAAAGTCCTCCGCGAAGGCAAAGTTTTCCCCATACTTGATCCAAGATTTCCATAGTATTCTGAATTAGGTTCAAAATGACAAGGCTACGGAGCTGAACATGGGTCCTTAACTCAAAATGGGATTGGCTTATCAACTACTGTTATAAAATAAAAAATAAAGTGGAGGTAACAAATTGGAAGAGTATATTTGACAGTGTGAGTAGTGATGGCTCTTGATTGTCGTTGTGAAGAATTTTACCCTCAACATGAAGTCTTCCCAGATCGATGGGTACCAGCTCGTCTAAGGATAAAGGCGTTCGGTGCGCAATCCTGCGCACATTGCCATCATGCCGTTAGATACGAATTTAAGTCAAGAGGATCATGTCTCCCCCATGTCTCTATCACAATGGTTGGAGAATTTCGGTACACTATAACCGGGACGTCACTATATCCGTTCCGCAAACAATTTTAATTAATCTTTCCAAATCCCCCACTCCTTTTATCACACACTGTTTAAATAAATGATCAAAGAAATGAAACACAAAAATGACTGAAATAATACGTAGTAACAAAATGTCAAACTTTAATTTTTATTACTCTTCGCCTTGCGTACAAAAAAATAAATAAAAGTAGTGATTTTTAGCTGATGCTCAATTCTTAAAGTCAAATATGGAAGCACTTCCCGACATTTATGTTATTCCGGTTTTTAAACGTGTTTAATCAGCCATTCGAGCACATAAAAATAATCTCTCGCTTAGCAAATTCATCGGCTTTGACTTGAAGCATTTGTCCAGATACTGGAAGATTGCGGCTTCTTTGAATGCTGAACCCATTCAATAACGCTATTCAATAAAGAAGCAAACAAGAAAAATGCTTATTGATTCCATGCTATAGATGGTTTTAAAAATCGGTGTATGTATTTATCTTGAAGTAGAAATTAAAAAATATTTCACAAAAAAGAAGAAAATAAATCAGTCGAAGACAGAAAAAAGTTCATCTTATCCAGCTTCCTCTCTTGTTTTGTTTCACTATATCCACAAAAAATAACATTATACGTGCGTAGCAGGGCACGGGAGCTAACATTTCGTTCACTATATCCGGGAATTCACGATAAATCGTGTTCACCATAGCGAGGTTTGACTGTATAATGTAACTCTATTTCGAACATAGAGTGTTTTCTTTTTTCATCAGTGATTCNATAAGAAATAGTATACACTTGAATAAGTTTTCGAATAAAATATACACAACTGACCTGCATATCATGCGGGAATGGGCTTTTGTCTGACATGGCTTGATTTGCAAGGCGCATGCAATCGCTTTCCATGTATCTGGATAACAGTTGACAATGTCCAGCACTGGAATGTCCACTGTGGGCATCCGGATCAATCCGTGCTCCCAAATCTCCACGTCCATTTTAGCAGCCTGGTCCGTTCGAGCGTCGCAATTTCGAAATAGCTCGGTGGGTCGGTGGTTGAAATGGGTGCAATAGCTCAGACCCTCGCACCCAAGTTCGCACGGTTCTTCGACTGCAACAATTATTTAATATTTTGTAATCCAATTTTTGCAAGCTCAAATCCCAAAAAGCATGTGAACTTACGGCAACCTTGTGTCGGAATTTTCTTTTTAGTGTTACGAAAATGTTTGAACTAAAAACCTTTTTGTCAATAAAGCAATAATGTTGCAGTTTCAAACCTTTTATCCTAAAAGGATTAAAAAAAATTTTCTAAAGTTTTTTTAAAAAAAGTATTGTCACTTAGGTCCTAAATGACGTTTTAGCTGACGTCGCACTAGCGATAGGATCAAATTACATTGTAAATTAAAATTTCTTGACAAGGTGGATTTTAGCTGAGCATACAAGACGTTGCAAAAATAAATTTTATAATTACCAAGATTTAAGATTATTTTCATCTTGAGATTAGCTTTATTAAAGGATTTTTCGCGCTTGAAAACCCTAAGTTAATCTCGATTTAAGGTTTTTGTATGGAAGGTTGTTTCCCTAGATTTTGGATTAGAGTAATGCGCGTAGAATCAACACCTCCTAGAAAGAACAGGCCTCAGCACGGGTTACCATAAATATCCCTTAGTAGTCCAAACGTAAATGACATATTTTGTATTTTCAACCACTGCGCAGCTAAGTACCCTTTCTCCCCTGATATCTTTCTTATTTTTCGTCTACGGCGAAGTTAACTTCGTCACATCGGACTACTAAATTGATCCGTGCTGAGGCCTTTCTACTTCTAGGAGGTGTTGGTAGAATAGAGCAGATTCTCAAAGATATCGTTTTAAGTTTAGAAGGTTTACACGTAGACCGCATAACAAACCTTTTTAGGTTTACATTAAAAAGTTTTTGCTGAGAGAAAATAAACCTTATTTTGCTATTCGGGAATGTTCAGTAACTTTTCTGAAACAGTTGTTCAAGTAACGAAGACATCATTTATTTTAGATAACAAGTTTCATATTAATCCCAGAGAGCAAAATAAGATTTATTAAAACCTAAAAAGGTTTGTAATACGGTTTACCTGTAAACCTTCTAACCTTAAAACGAGATCTTTGACGCTTATAACCCTAATATCCAAAACCTTGGAAAACAATCTTCAATATAAAAACCTTACATCGAGGTTGACTTAGGGTCTTCAAGCGTGAAAAAATTCTTTCATGAAGCTTGTCACAAGGTGAAAATAATCTTAAATCTAGGTCATTATAAGGTTTCTTCTTGCAAGCGTCTTGTATGCTCAGCTAAAATCCACCTTGTCATGAAATTTTAATGGACAATGCAATTTGATCCTATCTCTAGTGTGACGTCAGTTAAAACGTCATTAAGGACCTAAGTGACCATTTTACCTAAGTGAAAATACTTTTTTAAAATAGCTTTAAAAATAATTTCTAATCCTTTTAGGATGAAAGGTTTGAAACTGCAATATTTTTCCTTCATTGAAAAGAGGTTTTTAGTACAAACATTTTCGTGAGAATAAAAAGAAAGTTTCGACACAAGGTTGCTGTAAGGTTACATGCTTTCTGGGATTGAATCTAACTCTTAATTATTCTAAAAGCGTGAAATAAAGCGAATATTTTAATATCTCATCATAACGCAATACAGCACATAAAAATGTCGGATTATTCTTTGCAGCTGTATTGTTACTTCGAAAAACAATAAACTCGCTTACCAATTCATACACTATGAAAAGTGTGTGTTAATACCGAATCTAGCATTACTTTAAATAGTTATAAATAAGAAAGTTTAATCGTTGTTAATGAATTATTCTTGCTTGGAAACTGACATAATTTCGCAAGAACATTCCACAGAAACAGAAGTGTTTTGATATTCTCTTAATATGATTTATATAAATCTGTATTAAATAATATCTCATTTCTTATTCGAATTTTCTCAGTGTATTAACAAATTAATTTAATTTTATATTGTTGAAATAAGAGTTTTTATAGACTTATTTCACAAAGACTAACAGATTTTGATTGAAATCTGTGTCTTCTTTTTTAAATAGGCGCTCTATTATGCAGATCACGAACTACGGGTCAAAATTAGAAAATGTTGTAACTCGCCGGTGGCCAATTATCTCATTTTTAACAGTGACTTCTTCTTTAAAAATTGCAAAGAGGTTGAAGAAACTGTTGATAAGTGAAACATTTTCATTAAAAATGAAGAATAATGCGTTATAAAGTAAACTTTAGAATGTTATAAAATAATTTATTAAAAAAATAATAATAAAATGCATATTGAATGCATTTTTAACAAGAAATGTGTTAGGGGAGAGTGGGATCAATTGTAACATTTTTTACTTAACTATTTTTAACTAACAAAAAATCCAATATATTATTAGTATCAATTGACAGACGAGTAAAGTAGACTATCCTCTACTAGAAAAAGAAATAAATACGTTATTTAAAATGTTATTATATTAGTTATTAACAATTTTTGACAGTCGTGCACTTGTTACAATTGTTCCCACTTACGGGGTCAATTGTAACAGTTCATAAATTCAACTAAAACATAGTTAATTATACATATTATCATAGTTGTGATATATTTTTTTATTGATCAAAATAGTAGTGATATTTTAGGAGTAAAAATAATAATGAGCAGAGACCTAAAGG